TGAGAGAGAGAAAATCAGGGTATGTCTGGGATGAAGCCACGAACTCTGCCACCCACTGAACCAGGTCCCGGCCATCTCCTCGGCCAGGTCCACCCCCCACCTCATGGCCTCCTTCTCCCAGATCCCCTTCCCTGACCCTCCCAGGCCCATGATACCTGAATCGGGGCCTGTTCCATGTTGATGTGAACATCCACAGCAGAGCCGTCACTCTGAGAAAAGGGTAAGGGAAGTTGCTCTGGGAGAAGCCAAATACTAAGGCCCCCACACCTCCAACTCATTTTCTGAAAGCCCCACCCTGTTTCTCAAAGACTAAGGCCATATCAGACCTCAGGGCCCTGAAAACCCAATCTAAAGACCACGACACCTGTCTTACAAGCTCTCTGCTATCACCACAATCAAACCACCCTCCCCCACAAGAACCATCCTATGTGGAACACAAGCTTACAGGAAGATTGAAGGTTCCAACCATGACATAGCTATTGGCATTCCGGTCATGAACAGAGGCCCCAGGCCCCCGAGTACCAGGTGGGGGTCCCCCACCATGGGTGGCTGAGGCAGACCCTATCCCAGATGATGCCCCAGAAGGGAGCTGAGTCTGAGGAGGAGCTCGTTCCACCAAGTGAATAACCTTTCCCCCAACATCTGCAGGGAAAAAAAAAAAAAAAGATACACACCAAAGCATTATCTGATCAGGTAAGCTGAAGGCCTCAGTTCATCCCTACAGACAGCTGCCTCAGCCTCTAAACTGCCTCCCCCAAACTCTTACTGTATTCCTGAAGCTTCTTATCATCCTGTAGAACTCGTCCTTGATAGATGAGCCGCTGTTTCTCAGAGGGAATGCTGACAGAAGCAGCGATGTGCTCCTTAAACTCCTTTACATTCATCTACAAAGTAAAACAGATAAAGAACTATCAGAAGAGGAACAACTGACTTTTGGGAGTGAGGTTTAGGTAAAAATCACCCAATCATAAAATCACTACCCATTTGCCTTATGAGGTAATTATTGTGCAAAGCCCAAAACTAAGACGTGTTAACACCTGTCAAAACAGACAATAAATGTTAACAGAGTTCAGGTTATACGCCCAGAAGAAAATCACATGGCTGGAAACAGATAGGCAAACTGACATTCACTTCTCTCCCTGGCTCCCAAAAGAATGTGTGTCTAAAGATACCAGTGACCCCTCCCCAAACACAAAATGATATAACTCTATAATCTCCAAAGTAAATGCAAAGACAAAGAAAATGGGGCAGAAAATCAAAACAAAGACTCAACTAAGTAGAAAGAGAGAAAGGGGCAAACACTTTCCTAACTGGACAACATATTCTTGGGAAGTACCAGAATGTTTACACACATCTAATCACAAAAGCCTACGTAGTCTTCTTGTGTATGTTTTAAAAACTACAGACCTCATGATTCTGTCTTCAAGTATTACAGGAGTTAATGACATAGACAGCTATGTCTGTGGCATTAAAATCACGATTCAAGTTATGCCACAAATACTAGTAATTCCGTTCAATAGACTATTAGGGCTCTACCTGCACTATAGGGTCTGATTTCTAGCCTTTAAAAACACAGCACAGACTTAACCAATTTTTGCTTTTAAGACTTGTGTTTTGGATCACCATTCTGTTTTCTTTCCCCAAGGCAAGAACTATATCTGTCCCTTTGGGCTGGGGTTCACTCATGATGATGGCATAGATTTCCCCCTTCCTCCTCATTTCCCTCTGAGTTCCATCACGGTGGAAAAAGGCAAGATGAAATCTGCCTCATCCATACCCTCACTCAACAAGAAACACCAGAAAACGTCCTGTCTGGAACATGAACAAAGGAACCAACTGAAAAACATTTGAGGACCAAAACAAAACCAAACCCAAAATAAAAAACAAAATACACAAAAAACCAGGCTCTTCTTTCAGAGTAAGGGGACTACAAAAGGAAGAGTTAATGAGGGTCTTCCAGAAGTGCTGGGGTCTCACCTGGGCCCCCACAATAAAGGTCCGAGTCTGAGAGTCCAAGGTCTTCACCAGCACCTCCAGGCTGTCAGGCTCCTCCATACTGGTAGTGGTACTGGTAGTATCACTGGGCTCCATGGCCGACAGCTCGCTAAGGAAGAATGGAGGGAGGGAGGCCTGCTGTCGCCCAGAGCAGATTTTATATACCCGGAAGCCTCTCCAGCCTGAGTCTCCGCCCTAATACCTAAAGAGTTTCTCCCACACAAGCGCACACACTCACACCCGCCCCCATCCCCCTTCTGATTCCGGGGCACAGGGAGAAAAACACAAAGGGCAGATCGACCGCACAGGGAGCTGGAGGACGGGGAGATGGGAGGGGCTCCACAGTGCCAATCACAATAAGGGAAGGCCACTCAAGCTAGGAACCAGGAAAAGAGACCGGTGTCATCATCAGTCGCGATATGACAAAGGCCCCCAAGTTCGGCAAACCCTGGGGGGCACGCGAGAGCTGGGGGTGGGGGGGGTCGCGCCAGACTTGCGGAGACAGTAGTTTCGCGCACGCGCGCCACGCCCATCGAACCCGCCTAAGTCACTACAGACCCGAGATGACGGACACTCACGGGGGGCCAGACTGGCTAGCTGACTGCCCCCCTCTTCCGCCTTCTCTCGATGCTCCAGCAGAGCGGCGCAACCAACACACACCAAACACACACACCCCACACACACACCCACACACACCCACACACACCACCACCACGCCGGGCTCCGCCCCCGGCTTCCCCAAGGTACCGTCACTTCCGGTCTCCCCCAACTTGCCACCGATGGCCACTTCCGTTTCCCCGACAGTATTTGGGGATCGCAAGGCGGTACTTCCGGCTCCCCCCAGGTCCCCAAGCTTTACTTTCGTGGGGCACGGTGAGGAAGTTCGCGGCCCCAAACAGTGAGTTCCTTGGGGCGAGACGGGCCGGGGCTGGCCTGGATGGGCGGGAGCCGAGCACCCCGAGGAGCCGCGGCCACCGTCGCCCGGGGGACCGTACTGCGCCTGCGTGCGTCGCACTACGCATGCGTACACTCTTAGGGACCTCCCACCCCTGCTGACGCTGTTCATTTCTTCTGTGCACGCGCTTGAGCTGTGGGAGGTTGGGGTGGCTACTGTAAATGCCTGAAAAAATTACCAGATGAGACTCTCCGCCTCGAGAGGCTTTGGACAGTTGTGTGCAACTTTGAGTTTGGGGACTGGGGATTGTGCCTCATTAATCTATGTTAAAGTCGTGGCCGGCAGAGAACTTGAGGCGGCAATGTCCTGGCCTCCTAAAATTCTGTTTTATTACTCTTGGCCCTCGCGGCTCTACTGCTTCGGCGCTTCCGGAAGTCATCCTCTCCTTAGGCCGTTGGAGGTGGTACGCGAGCTGCCTGGGCGTGCCGTCCAGTCGTTGGGGGCTGACCTTGGTTCTGCCCGGTGGGCGTTTGGCGGACCGTGAGCGCCATGTTCCTCGCCGGCGATATGCGGCCGAGGGGACGCGCCATATTCTCGCTAAACTAGGATTTACTGCTTTTCAGGACCTCCATCAAAAAGGGCGCCTCAGCGTTTGGGAATTAGGAGCAAATGGACTCCGGTGTCCACAGCCTTTCTGGGATTCGTAGTTTCTACCCAGGTCCCAGGACTGTTTTCAGTTACCCAGGTCCCAGGATTGTTGTCAGTTAGGAGTTCTAATAAACACCTGTTGAGAGAGCTTTTGGTTTGTATCAGCTACTTTACTAAGGGTTTTGCGTTCTGTCCTACCTGAAAGCCTTTCAACACCTGGGATAGTTATTATATGCATTTTTGTAGATGAATACACCTAGGCGAAAGTAAGTGGCAGAACTGACAAGTCCAGACCTACCAGACCCCGGGTCAAGCACATCTACCAATAAATTGTATTTTATATTAATTTGCTTTTTATGATAAAAAGTGGCCAACATTACCCCTAAATAGTAATAATGAGCTCTCGTATACCCATCACCCAAGTTTTGTTATTTTAATTAAATTGCAAGCCCATAGCAACCTTACCTCTCAGAACAAATTTTTTGGCAGTCTGGGCTATACATAATCTATTAAGGAAGCCCCATCTTTCATTGCATTACCTGCTCCACCCCCTTGGCACTATCCAATGATTGCCTGTTGATAATTCCTTACTATTACTTGAGAACCTAAAACCTACCAGAAACAGTAAATAAGTGCTTTTACAAACATTAGTTATAGCGAATATTTACTTTAGACTTAACCACGTGCAGGCCTCTGCTAAGAGCAAACACGTAAATTGTTCATAAAACAATTCATAAAATTGTTCAAGATTAACAAACAGTGGAGTTAGAGTTTGCACCCTTTCTGCCTAACACCAGTGTCTATACTCTAACCATCAAATTCTTTAACCTCTTAACTGTAGTAATAAATCTTGAGTGAATAAACTCATCAGCGAACTTTCTCAGGGTGTACATATAGTTTCCCCAATTATAAACTTCAGAGGGAAAGCCTTCCATCCATCAGGCCCCAGCACCTGGTTCATACCTGTTCTAAAGAACTTACTAGATTTGTTTTGTTTATATAGCTAGTTTTCCTTTCACTGCTTCAAGGCCAGAGACTGTCATTCATTTTTATGTCCCTAGGGCTTTGCTGGCAAACAGCTGGGACTCAAAAACAGTCTGCTAAGTGAATGAATGAAAGAATCGGTCTATTTCTCCTCAGTGCTGCACAACACAGCAGAAACACAGCTCAGATAGAGGTTGAAAGTCCACAGGCTTCTACTTAGAGGGTTCAGCTCTCCTAATTCCTGAGAGACCCTTGGACATGCCAGGGTGTATAATGGAGTACTGGTATCTAGAAGAGGGGGAGGAAGGCCCAAACACTGTAAGTAATCCAGGCTTGGGTTGGAAAACAAGGTTGAAGTTACTCATTAGCAGGTGAAAGGGTCAAGGGTCGAGGCAAGGGGGCTGGAAGCAGAGTGGACTGAGTAACTAGCAGGGGGAGAGAGCAGTTAAGGCACCAGCCACTTCACGAAGAGCACCAGCTTCCTCCTGCCTGAAGATGTTCTACCAAATATGGGCAACTCTACTCTACCTCTATGGTATTCTCCTTAACTCCATCTACCAGTGCCCTGAGTTCAGTCAACTGACAACTCAGGAAGTGGATGGGAAAGAGGTATGGACTGAGGGGGGGTGGGGAGCTTATGGTGGAGGCTCTGAAGGATTTGGGTGGGTGGCCTTGAATGACCAGAAGCCACACTAGGAAAGAGAGAAAGGGCATGTGTGTCTCTGACAATGAATGCAAGAACAAGTAAAAAAAATATTAGTACTGTGGCCATCAATGTGGAGACATGGTAGAATTGGGGGTGGGTGGTTACTCAAGATGACTGAGGGGAAACAAAGGAAAAGTTGCTTAATGACTCCCTGTCATAACCCAACCAAAACAGCTACCTCTCCACTCCTAAGTCTTGCTGTCTTAAGAGTGATGATGAAGAGGTTGAATGGATCCTGTGGTGGGGACCCACCTTTTTCTGACCCCCCCCCATTCTCTGCAGTTCCCAGAGCCACACCTCGGCCAGTGGTACTTTATCGCAGGGGCAGCTCCCACCAAGGAGGAATTGGCAACTTTTGACACTGTGGACAACATTGTTTTCAACATGGCTACAGGCTCTGCTCCCACACAGCTCCAGCTTCGTGCTACCATCCGCACGTGAGTGGTGAGGAGGCAGAGGCACCAGCAGATGCAGTCTCTGTTCAAAATATGAGCTCCCACCCATAAAGAACTGGGCTCTTTGGGATATCAGCTATTCTTGGCCCACTGAGCCTACAGGTGTATTAGTTTCCTTCTGAAGAGGGATGGGCCTAACCCACCATACCTTGGTAGCTTTAAACCCAAGGGAACCTAGGCCTCAAAAAGAAGTAAGATAAATAGAGGTTGGTATTGTGTGGTTGGGTTCCATTGAGCCCTTTCTTCTTGCCACCACTTCTGCAGGAAAAATGGGCTTTGTGTGCCCCGGAAATGGGTCTACCACCTGACTGAGGGGAGCACAGATCTCAGAACTGAAGGTTGGTTCTCTTCACCCCTCACCCTCCCCAAGTCCCCTAGGCTTTTTTGGTTTTGCATCTCTGCCCTGACACTTTCCCTGCCTCCCCACCCCCAACAGGGCGCCCAGACATGAAGACCAAGCTCTTCTCCAGCTCATGCCCAGGTGGAATCATGCTGAAAGAGTCTGGCCAAGGTTATCAGCGCTTCCTACTCTACAGTGAGTGGAGACGCCAGGCAGGAAGGGTTGGAGGAAACACTGGGAAGGCAGGAGAGCCTCTCACTCTGGGCCCTAAGATATCATCCCAGGAAGGGCTGGGTGCTTCCATGAGGTCCTCACCAGGACCAAAGAAGCAGAGACTTTGATAGGCCTGGTCCTGCCTTGCTCTTCCAGATCGCTCACCACACCCTCCCGAGAAGTGTGTGGAGGAATTCCAGTCCCTGACCTCCTGTCTGGACTCCAAGGCCTTCTTACTGACTCCCAGGAATCAAGGTGAGGGGAGGTAAAGTCCCACAGAAGAGGACTAGGACTCACCAAGTCTTCTGTGCCAGATTAAAGGGACTCAAGTGATGTCACCGGAAGGCATGGCCAAAGGCTGACATCATTAGAATGGCTGTGTTGGCAACTCCGTTTGTGTCACAGGCTGTGATGACATCAGAAGGATGTGGCCAAGAGCTGTGATGTCACCCAAGGGAGCCAGGATGGGTTCTGGGCGACTCAAAAGAGATGTTTCAGAGTTTGTGGTATATAAAAGGGGAAACATGTAGGGGAAAAGGCCTTAGAGACCCCTTCTTAGATGCAGGGAAAAGCGGGAATGCATTTTTCTCCGCCCCATTACCACCAACGTTGCCTTTCTTCCTGGATTTCCCTCCTTTCCATCCTCTTTTCTCCCTCCTCCCACCAGAGGCCTGCGAGCTGTCCAGTAACTGACCTGTGGCTTCATCTGTGCCCCAGATGGATATGGTGGGAGCTGCAGTTGTGCTGCAGGGAGGAGAAGCTGGAGACTCCCAACTTCCTTCCGAGAGTAATAAAGATGGTTTTTCAATTCCCATCTCATTTTGGGTTTGTCTCCAGACATCAATCCCACTACCTCCCTTTCAGTACTCCCCGTGTCTTCTGCCACCTAAACCCCCAGCTGGACGGCGTCAGGAAGGACACTGAATGGTGGCATGTCTCTCTTTGTAGTGATATATTTAGGATTTGGTGTGACACAGTGATTTATTGCTGAGTGTGCAAACCCCTAACCCCAGAGTGGGGACTGCAAGCTCCAGTGCTTCCCCATACTGCCTGTCTTGAGCTGCCAGCCCCTCTGAACTGGCCCTCCTTTCAATACTGCCTGCACCATTCCCACTTCCCCTGGCTCCTCGGAACACCCAGACCCTCCCTGCAGGCTCCCTGTTACCTTGGGGTCCTATCCACACCCCCTAATCTACCCACAGAACAGTCCCATTCTCCTCTAGATGGCTCAGATCCCAGGATCTAAGGGGATCCCTTGAGTCTCCAACCATCCTCCACAGAGGTCTGTCTGTCCCACCCCTGGGTAGTTTTGAAGGGTAAAGAGAACCCTTCAGTCTTTATTTTCACCACTACACTTTTTTTTTTCTTTTAAAAAGTAGAAGTGGAAAGAAAAAAAACGAAAGTGGGGAAATGTAAAAGCAAAACTAACAACAGCTGGTGATTTCAAGGGCAATATCCCTATTGTCCATAAACAGATACCCTAAACAACTCTATTCTCCTCTTTGTGTGAAGGGGGGCCCTGTGCCCTCATACTCTGGGGTTTCTTCCCCATCCCTGAGGTCCCTGTGCTTACAATCTGGGTCATGGCCCCCACTCTCCTCCTAAAGGCCACACTATCTTCACCCTTGCTCCCACCCCACTCAGGGTGGGGGCACTAGGGTCACACCCTATCCCATAGTCACAGCCCCTTTCCTGGGTCTCCCCTCCATTCCTCACCCTCCATCTCCAACTTCTCGCCCTCCAAGTCAGTGGCCTCCTCATCCCCACTGGGCTCCCGGAGGCTGACAGCCAGCACTAGTGCCTGTAGGAGACCAAAGAGGCAGGCAAAGTGCAGGGGGTGAGCAGTAAGTAGGCTCAACACAGCATGGAGCCCATGCAGGGCAGCCAGGAAGGACAGCAGCCCATGCAGCCAGAGGCCCAGTGGTCCGCGCAGGCCCAACGCATCCAAAGCTGCCCTCAGAGGCTGTGAGCACAACCCCAGCAGTGCTGAGGCCAGCAGCTCCAGCAGGTGCAGAGTCAAGTTGGTTGAGATCTGCAGACACTCCTCTGGGCCCCCCAGGTATTGCAAGGGAGCCCCTGCTCCCCCACCTGGATCCCCCCGTAGCCAGCCCAGCAGCTTCTGACGCCGCCCTGGCTTCTCCACTAGGGCTTCAGGCTCAGTGGGGCTCAGTCCCCCTTCAGGGGACACTCCAGGTCTCCTGGTGCCACTTGAGTCCACAGGATCCCATCCAAGTTTGGGAATGGTCCCTCCAGTCTCCAATCTCCCAGACTCTTGAGTGTTAGCGACAGTCTTGTCCCACTTGAGGGAATCCATTCTTTTGATCCCCAGTTGCTCATCTTGGGACTCCCTGCTTGGCTCTAGAGTGGCCACACAGCTCCTCCGTGCCCCTGGGTCCTTGGCCTTGGGAGGTCCTACATCTCCCATGGTTTCTGGGGCACTATCCCAGTCACTCCCTGAATTCTCAGAGGAGCTGTCCACTTGTCTGGGTTCTGGGGCAGGCAGGTCAGATTTCGTTGGTTTCCGGCGGCCCCAGGGGCGAGGTAGCCAGCCACCAAGCCGTCGCAGGAACATGGCTGGGATGTGTAATGAGCCCCCAAATTCTGGGGCTGCTTCCTGGCACTGCTTAGGTTCTCAGGTTTAAGGGCTGAGTGTCTCCTCAAAAGCCAGGGTCTGTTCAAGCTCAGAAGAACTGTTATTTTTTTGGTGACTCCTACTATGAAATCAGAAGTGGCTCCACAATTCCCTGAACGGTCGTGCAGCTTCAAGTGTGGCAAGCAGCTTGTTTCCTTTTCAGTTCTGAGGTAAAGAAGGGAGGTACATCCAAATTCATTCACCACCACCAGGGCTCCCCACCATCCCCCCAACACACACAAGATTCAGAACAAGAATCTCAGGATCTGACAAGGCCTGGGTCACCCCCACGGTGTCCTCCCTGCGTTTCTGGGGTTTCCTTTCCTGCAGGCAGCACCCCAAGTTTCACTCACCAAGGCCACGCCCCGAGGTGCTCCAGAAACTGGGGAGGCGGTGCTCCATCCAAGAAGGGAGGAAGGAAGGTGGCCCTGGGTTCTCAGCTGTTCCCAATCTGGAGAGTCCTGAATTGCTGACCTAAGGGAGCTCAATAGGCAGACTCCTATTGGGGGCGTTAGGAGAGAGGTGTTCAGCAAACTCCACTTAGCAGCGTTCGTCCTTTGATTTAGAGACCTATGAATCCTACAAAGCAGCCCGACCAGTCCCAGAGCACGCAGCTGAGACGCAGCCTCCGCAAGGTCAGGCCAGAAATGTCTTGGGAGATCCTCGTCGCGAGGCCAAGCGCGGGCCTGCCTGGGGAATCCAGGCGTCCGGGCGCTGTGCGCTGCGACCCCTCCCGGGCCCGGCGTCGGGGCCGCGGCCTCACCAAGCCTCCCGGAGCCGCAGAGCCCGGAAGCAGCTGCACTGGGGTTGGAGGGGCAGACGGGGGCGGAGCCCGCAGCTCGCGGGGCGGACCCTGCGGATCCACCGCCCCCCGCGCCCCCGCGCTTTTAGTACGCGCCACTCGGCAGGGTGCGAGTGGAGATCAGGCAGGGCCGGGGCCTGAGTGTAAATCTAACTCTCCATTTTCGTCACCCACAGGTGCTCCCCTAAACTCGCCCGCTCCCTTTAGCCCCCTGCCCTTTGGTTCTTCCCTGCAACACCCCCCCCACCCCCCCCCCCCACTCCTCCTCCAGGACTTCATAGAAAGGTTTTACGAAAAACAAAGCTGCTCTTCTGGGACTTGTGTGGCTCTTCCCTGCCGTTCCACGCAGATTTTACTTCCTGGATCTGACAACTGAGCTCTCCGTGTGCCTGGCACCTGGCATGAGCAGCAGGAATGAGGGAGAGAGGGAGGGAAAGACAAGTGTAGACCAATAGAATGTGCTGCTTGCCCTTAGGGGTTTTCAGATAGTAAAATGAAGAATCTTGACTTAGAGGTTACATTTGGGAGGCCGGAGTTCTGGCTCTAGGTTAGCTAACATCATAGAGGCTGGATATTCCTAGCGCGCACGCACACACACACACACACACACACACACACACCCATTGGCTTCTTTCTCCAAGACCCTACCTACTCTAATGATCTCTGTCAGCCTTCTCAAGCTTCCCATAACACCATGCATTTTATGTTGATCACAGAGCCGCCGCCGCCTCTAGCTGTGAGCAATCAGGTTGGGAGTATCTCTTATTCCTCTTCTTGGCACATAGTATACGCGAACTTGTTTAAAATCAGTAATTGAGCAAAAACAGTGCTTGAATTGGCTGGACTAGTCAGGGGATCCTTCCTGGGGTAGGTGAGACTTGCATAGAGCTTGGGCAATTCCTGGTTCAGGGGATTCAAAGAATAGGTGGGGCATGCCAGGCAGGAGCTAGAACCTGTAAGTGAACAAGACTGGCAAGGAGGTGACCCTATTATGCCACCTGGCTCAGGTGGGACTTACATGTGGCCCCTACACTTGTTTGGTTTTCCCACAATAGCTTCCAGAAAAATGAATAAAACACAAAGGAGGCAGAAGTTTGATTTATTTTTCAATGCTCAGCCCCCCTCTCCCAAAGGCAGAGCCCACTGACCAAAACCTGAGGATCTAGGAACTGGGCAGACCCCAGGAAGTAAAAGCCAAAGTGCCTACATGAGAGTTCAGACTTAGCAATACACAACGAATAGACCTTACCAGGGTCAGAACTCAAGGTTCATGTACGTCCTCAGATCCCGCTCCCATGCCCTGTCCTTCTCCTCCTGCTTTCTTTCCTCCCTCCGGCTCAGTGTGGTCACCCGAGGGGTTCTCTCTCTCCCAGCCACAGCCCGAGTATCCCGAGCCAGGAAGTGTGTGACTCGGGGTTGGGGCACTGATCTGTAGCCTAATCCTTCTTGGTCCCTCTTGAGGACAGTGGGGATGGGGTTTGTGCGGCCCTCACCCCGGGGTCCCAGCCCCATTCCAGGCTCCCAGCCTCCCCTCAGCAGCAGCTTGAAGCCTGGGCTGGAGGTGGGCACCCCAAGGGGCAGGTTGGGGGACCTGAGATCACGGGACAGTGACAGCAGGTGAGCAGTGGATGTACAATGGTTAGAGTCTTGGAAGTGCGCGTCACAGGTCTCACAGTATTGGGGGGACGGTGACTGGGACCTGTAGAAAAAAAAGAGAGAGTTGAGGGCAGGGGAAGGGTTAGGCCTCAGAGGGAGGGTGGCAAGGTGGGAAGTCCTTCCAGTCTTTCTGTTAAAAAACAAACTGCCTTCCAATCCACTTAGCAATGAAGGACCCAGAGAACAGCTGGGAGAAGAAATGGCAACCAGGCTTCACAAGCTCTTGGGCAAGGCATAATAATAATGACTACAGTTAGTATTTATATAGCACTTATATAGGAAGCATCGTTCTAATAGTTTGCATATATTGGCCCATTAAATTCTAACAATCCTACGACAAAAGTGCTCTTATTGTCCCTATTTCTCAGATAAAGAAAATGAGGGACATAAAAATTAAGTTATTTGCCGAAGTAGTCAGGAGTCGAACCCAGGGAACTCATGTTCATTACCTCTACTACACTGCCTTATCAGCCTATACTGGGGGATCGGGGAGAGAACCCTTCAGCTCTGTTCTGGAGCCCCTGGTATGGAGAGGCTAGGAAGGACAGAACACATTGAAAGACAGGCATAAGCTAAGCCTTCCCCCTCACCGGTTCTCTGGGCTCCTTGTCTCTCCGTGGCTCTCTCTGACCATGCGGGCCACCTCAGGGAACCCCGCTTCTTCGGCCAGCTGAGCAGCATCCTTGCCACCCAGCTCACAGACTCCTACCCAGGCAGCTCCACGGCCCAGGAGATAGCGCACAGCAGCCCCCTGGCCTGCGCGAGCAGCACACATCAGGGGAGTCCACCAAAAGGCATCCCGAGCATTGATATTGCCCCCAGCTCCTCCTGCCTCACAGGGATCCAACAGCCTTCTTAGTTCTGCCAGGTCACCCTCTTGGGCTGCCCTCAGTATCCACTGGGTCATCTTGTCCTCTGCCTCAAGGGATCTCCTTGGTCCATGTCCTCCTGAGGCTCCTGCAGCAGCTTCCCTCATTATTCTTCTCTTCTTCCTCTTTCTCTCACTGGAAGGTTCGGGCCGAGATCTCTGGGATTCAGGGGCGCTGCTTTCATCCCCAATCAGGGCCTCATAGAAAGCCCGGGCTGCAGCCCCATCCAAGGCGGGCTCCAGCTCTTCAGGCTGTGGCTGCTGTTGTCCATCTTTCCAGAGGTCACTGGAACTGGTAGCCGGGGTGAAGGTGATGAGGGAGGGCCTGGACATATCTTTTGGGCAAACTGAGATGATGAGACTAGACAAAGGGAGGTTGAGACAAGCCAGCCAATTCCTTGGTGGCTCTGCATTGATCAAAGCCACCTCCAGAGACCTGCTGGGATGAGGAAAAGTAGCTTTAAAGTCAAAAAACCCCTCTCACTCCCTAAGTGACCCCACAATCTAGGAGAGCAGGGCCTAAGGGCCATAGATCATGTGGAAAATCGGAACCCTACAGTAACAGTCCATACCCCTTACCAAAGGTTAATTTAACAAATAAGACTCAGTGAGAGTTGCCCACAAGTCCTGGATTCTGCCCCCAACCCCATCCTCACCAACACTACATAAAAACAGCTTCTCTTTAAAACCACTTGACCACCAGGTAAGACATACCATTAAGAAAACAATCAGCCTTGGCCCTTTAACTCTTCCTTGATCCTATGGCCGGGGTATCGTCTTCCTGAATAAGAACAGACTTTGACCCTTCTACGAAAGCAAAAAGCTGTTTTAGGGGAGAAGCTCCAGTGTTGGTAGCTTTGAAGTCTCCATATGGCAAAATGGCGCTACTTTAAGCAAAGGAGCTGACGATCAAACAGCCACATGACCCCTAACAAGCAAGCGTGACTGGAAAAAAAAAAACAAAACAACACAACACAAAACATTACTTGAGGACGCAGGCCTGTGCGAAGCGCCAGGTTCAGATTCCCCACCCCGGGACCTTTTCCAGAGCATCCGCTAAAATGCCACGTGACTAAGTAGCGCGAGGACACAGGGTCTGTCGGTTGGGGTCCTACTTTTACATAACGCCCCCACAATGCCCTTCGCCTCCCTGAACGTGGCCCCCCCGCTCCAAGCTCAATTTTTGGAGCTGGGAAACCACTCTCTGAGTTAAGAAAGACTCTGAGGAGGCGGAAGGAAACCTGTGGAATGCCCAGAAGCTGTGAAATGAAATAACGTCACCCTGCCCCTCACCATTATTCTGACCAGGGTTCGAAGGTCACACTTAGTGCCCGCAGCAGAAAGCCCCATTCAAGCCCAAAGAGGAAATGGAGAAGTGCAAGGGGACGAGCAGCAGAATGGCTGGAGCCACCTCAGGTTAGCGTACGGGGCCGTCCCGGTTCTCACATCGCTCACCTCAGCCAAGCCCACCCTACCGTCGTCCCTCAGCAGGGAGCCCGGCCTCGCCTCCCGCCCAAGACCAGACCCCGGGGTGAAACACAGCACGCCCGCCCCTCCCCCCCAGGGCCCCCAGTGGCGGGCCCGACTCGGGCGAGGGGCTCGTAAGGCAATAAGGACCCGGCGGGTTAGCTGGAGATGAAGTTAGTCCCCTGGGCAGGAGGCGAACGCCTGGGACAGAGCCTCGCTGCGTTGAGGGGAGCTGCAGGAAACCAGCCAGCGAGACACCTTCATTCCTCTCCCCGCCCCCTCCCAGCCCCTCAGTCGCGGGATCCAACAACTATATTTCCCAGGCTCCCGGACCCAGAACGGGTACTAGACTTCCGCTTCCGGTGGCACCCCGCTGCGCCCCGCCCCTCCCCCCAGCGGCTTGCTCAGGGGCCTCGCGACACAAGGGTCGTGCGTGGGTCATCCTGGGATTCGTAGTTCGCCTCTGCCTCGCTTCGCCAGTATTTTTTTTTACCGGGGACTCCATCTCCCGGCGTTCACTGCGGTGCCGGACCCTTGGCGCTTGCGCGTTGCCCTTTCCCCACCCTCCCCAATTTCCACTCCCCCCCACCCCACTTCGCCTGCCGCGGTTGGGTCCGTGGCCTGCGTTGTAGCGGTCGCGATTTCTTGGAAGCGGCAACTCCCCTCCCCCACCCTGGTCCCGGTCCCCGTCCAGCCGGTGAGTCTGAGGTAGTCGCCGCGCTGAGTCCCCTGTCCTTAGGCGCGGCATATGGGGTCTCCAATGCTTGATGTGGGGGTGGGGAAGGAAGTGACCCTGTCTGGCACCGGGAGAGGGAGGGATGACCTGAGGGGTGGAGGCGGCCTGTGGGGACTCCTGTGAGAGGGACTTCACGACCACCTCCAGGCCATGAGAGAAAGAGGGTCCCAGCTCTTGCTCGGAAAGGATAACTTCCGAACCCTGGGGAAAGGCGCCAGGGACGTGCAGAGACCTTCGGGTTAGGGAGCTCGAGCCGAGCAGGGTTAGGGCCCTGCTGGAGTTGACAGGAAGGGGAGAGTGGGCTGGTCTTCTGGAGCGGTAAGATGTAGGTAGGACTGGTGGGTCAAGACCTGTGGGACTCCAAAGAATCTCTGATCTCAGAGAAGAGGGACCGAGATGTGCATAAGAAGAGCGGGAGAGGAGTGCTCCAAAATCTGGGATCCTTTAAGAAAAGGTTGCCCCAAATTCTTCCATGGTTAGAGAGCTCTGTGTGGGAGGAGGGAGGATACCAGAGGCAGGGTGGGAGAGCTTGGACTTAACACTCTCTTTTTTTCCCAGCTGACGTGAAGATGAGCAGCTCAGAGGAAGTGTCCTGGATTTCCTGGTTCTGTGGGCTCCGTGGCAATGAATTCTTCTGTGAAGTGAGTTCTCAGTCTCCCAGCCATCTCCACACAAAGTTTGGGTGTATTATTTCCCGCATATTTAGCTTCTGCACGCTTCTCTTACCGGCTTCTGTTGAAACTTTTCCTGCCAAGGAGGAGTCCTTTCAGTAATTCCTGTCACTAACTTGTGAAGTGGCAAGACTGCCCAGATCCCAAGCCTGTTACCCTCCAACAGTGTAACTTGAGACAAGTTAACGCCTTTATTGTTTATTAAAGTTACTATTAGAGTGGTACTGGGAGTGCTTACCTTTGTATATGTGCTGCCGAAGTGAGCACAAGGAAGTGCTTACCTTTGGAGTCTATTAGAATTAAAATGTCATATGTGAAAATGCTTTATAATGTGCAAAGTTGTATGCTAATAATATGAAGGATCATAACTGTCCACAGGACTCAAACTGTTGAGTCTACTTTCATTAGAGATCTAGCTGCTCCTAAGGAGAGGACAAAATCGATTTCTAGAGAAGGGGCCAGGAGTAGAACAGGGATTTTAAAAGGAATGTTTGTTTAAGGAGATTGTTGTAGCTGCTTACCTCAGAGAAAAAAAAAGCCAAAGCTTTCATGGGAAGGCTATGTATCTGAACTGGAGAGAGAGGCTCAAGTATGTCTGCTGAGTTTGGACTGAGGAACAAGGGGAGACTGAAGCAGTTGTCTTAAGAGTAAGGCACCAGTTAGAACAATGTCCCAGGTCAAAGCTGAGGATTCTGCTATGGGTTTCTTCTTTACATTCACATCCTGACAGGTGGATGAAGACTACATCCAGGACAAATTCAATCTCACTGGACTCAATGAGCAGGTGCCTCACTATCGACAAGCTCTAGACATGATCTTGGACCTGGAGCCTGGTGAGGCACTGTTAGGGTTGTTTAGTGTGTATATGTTTGTGGTTTTGTTTTTTGTGTTTGTTTGTTTTTCTTTTCATATTCCTGTTTATCTGCTTCTTGAATTTCCAAATTTTCTTTTGGTTCTCTGACTCTCTTTACCCAAAGTTCCCTACTTCATTTTGGTCTCCCATATGACTCTTGCCTAGTTTTGTGACTTACACCACCTGTTCCCACACTCTGGTTCTGTAACTTGGCTCTATCTCCTAATGCTAGTTTCTCCTTGGGTCTCCTTTCCGGTTTCTTTTTCTTGGCTTGTACCTTTCAGTTTCATCTTTTGCGTTGACATCTTAGCATTTATGTTTTGAGGAGAGAGTTGGGAGGGAGAGAGAGCAGAGGCTGAAGAGGTGTGGAGAGAAGGCAGAGCTACCTTGGGTTGGTGGAAGGGTCAGAGGCCCAGGTTTCTGGGTCAAATGCTCAAGTGATGGGTGGCTTAAAGATGGGTGCCGGGCACACTGAGTAGCCAGCAGCCCCTGGCGGTGGGTGGGGCATCTAAGAAAGCTGTAAGACAAGTGGTTGCAATTGGCTGGGGCCATGTTTCAGATGAAGAGCTGGAAGACAACCCCAACCAGAGTGACCTGATTGAGCAGGCAGCTGAGATGCTTTATGGATTGATCCACGCCCGCTATATCCTCACCAACCGTGGCATCGCCCAGATGGTGAGGCCTCTCCGCTCCCACTTGACTTCTCTGAGACAATAAGGGAAACAGAGGTTCCTGCAGCAAAGAGTCACACATTTCAACCTTGTTAGGGAATGTAGCTGAAAAGAGGGAAAGAACCCCACAACCTGGGCCTGGGAATTAAATCCTAATTGGGAGTTGTGAGACTGAGGTGTTTTCAGGGAGGGTGATGTGACCTTGGACAGGAGGTTGTTACAGTCTGCCTTTTCCTCAGGGAACAAACAGCCAATGACTCTGGTGGTCTGTAACCTGCCTAACTGGAAGAAAGGAAGCAGGGGAGTATGAGGGCCTGTCTGGGTCTGCTTAGCAGGGGTGTCTGGACAGAAAGAGGCAGGAGTTGGGGACAGAGTGACATGGCTTGGGCTGAGGAGGGGATTGTCTCTTCATACCTACCCACCAACTCCTTTCATTTTATTCATCTCAGTTGGAAAAGTACCAGCAAGGAGACTTTGGCTACTGTCCCCGTGTGTACTGTGAGAACCAGCCAATGCTTCCCATCGGTGAGTGTTAGAGAAGGGAAAGAAGGCCACATCAAATGGCAGATCCTCTGGGAAGGAGTTGGGATTCAGCGAGTTGGGGCCTCAGTGTGGGAGGGAGGTTGGGCAGGGTTGGGGCTGCCCGGCCTGCTGAGTCTGGCTGTCTCCCAGGCCTTTCGGACATCCCAGGTGAGGCCATGGTGAAGCTCTACTGCCCCAAGTGCATGGACGTGTACACACCCAAGTCATCGAGGCACCATCACACGGACGGAGCCTACTTCGGCACCGGTTTCCCTCACATGCTCTTCATGGTGCACCCTGAGTACCGGCCCAAACGGCCCGCCAACCAGTTTGTGCCCAGGTGGGGAGCAGGGATAGAGTCACCATCGGTCGAAGGAAAGGTTTGGGATTTCCCAGAGAGAAGGGAGGACAGGGCATGGTCCTTTCTTGAGGTTTGCTTCTCCCACGGTGAGTGACCTTGGGGAAGGTATTTGATTGCCTTTTCCTCAGTTCCCTTATCCATGAAATGGGGATGATGACAATAGCTGCCTGACAGAGTACATTTAAATAGTGAGTTGCTGTGAATAACGTTTGGCACTGGAAGTACCATTTAAATGATAGCTAATTTTTGTCATCATGTTGGGTGCTCAACCTTTTGCCAGGAGAAAGTGTGTCTTATCTTCCTGGAACATCATGTATACTGGGAAAAACAGTTTGGTGTTCTGTTGAGACAAGTACTGATACACGCACACAGAAACGTGCAGTCACTTTCCTGTTTGTGTGTGTGTTTATGTATATCCTAGAATAAGAGTTTTAACTGCTGTTTAAGGTAGATTTCCCAGTATTCTGGAGGGAAGATGTTTGGGAACCACTATCCTTAAGCATTTAGCAGACCCATGGAGAAGCTGGGGTGGGGAGGGGGAAATGCAGGCTACTGGCAGGGCCAGAGTGGGGCTCACCCTTCTGCCTCTGATCTGTACCCTGGCCCAGGCTCTACGGTTTCAAGATCCATCCAATGGCCTACCAGCTGCAGCTCCAAGCCGCCAGCAACTTCAAGAGCCCAGTCAAGACGATTCGCTGATTCCCCACCCAACCTGTCCCTCTGCCTTTAACACCTCTATTCCTTTGCTGCGTCCCTTTCAGGAACCCTTTATGGTTTTTAGTTTAAATTAAAGGAGCCATTATTGTGGTGGGAATATGAAATAAAGTGGAAGAAAAGGCCATGGGCTGGTCTGCTGGTGCTTGGGGTTGGGAGACGGGAGGGTAGTGCTGTTTGATCCCAGGGGCCCTCATGGCCCAGCCCACCTTCTTCAAGTTGAAAACCAGCACAGACTTGTGCCCAGTGGATTTGGGTGATGTTTTTAGCAGCAGAGCAGAATTTCTAGTAGTGGATGTGGAGATGTGCAAGGTCACATGGAAAAGACCCGGGGAAAATCTGATATCAAAGACTGGAAACATAATTTGTCTTTTTTTGGCTACCTATAACTATATTTATACTGTAAGGAGTATAATCAACAACAAAATATTTTGGTTTTGATTTTACAGGGAAAGTGGTCGAGAAATAAACAACTGTATGGGGTGGAGAGAGGGACAAGGTCCAGAGTTGCTGCTGGGTGGTTTCTGTGCGCCCCCTGCTGGGGGAGCTGAGACATGCTCACTTCAGAAGAATGGGGACCCTGGGTACCTGACCACAGTGTTTCCCAGCGCAGTAGGGACTGGCTCTATTGTGTTGGGAGGACAGCAGGTGGTACCAGAGACAGATGCTGGCCCATGGACCCTTGAGGTGTGGGAATAGGTCTTTTCAGGGCATGAGAAAGACAGCTGGATAAAGGCCCAGGTGTTGTTCTTGTGTAGGCCACTGTTCCCACGTCCAGGAACCTGACCTTGTGGGTGAGGACATGCTGTCCCTCTAGCCAAGTTAATAAATTCTTCCTCCAGCCAAGGAATATAGCTCTGTCTACAGCAGCTCCTGCTCAAAACTATCAAAATCACCCTACAAGGAGCATGTTCACAGGAAGGTGGGATTTCAGGATACCCCTCAGGGACTGCCCTTCTTCCCAGAATTCCATCATGAAGCCCCATGTACTTGTAGGTGCGCTGGTCATGGTGGGCTTCGCAGTGGGAAAGGGTAAGTGGGGCCCAGGGACAAGGAGGGAGGGGTGACTGAGTCTGGGAAGGGGGGGATGCTTTAGCCCTCGATTCACAGGCTCCCTGCAAGGCAGAGAACTTGGAATAAGCCAACATTCCCATCCCTCCTGTCTTCTTCTCCAGCTCCTGTTCCTGAAGTCCGGACCTGTCACCTCTGCCTCTTAGAAGACCCTTCTACAGGGTGTATTTCAGGCTCAGAGAAGTGCACCATCAGCAGTTCGTCACCATGCATGGTGATCACCATCTATTATGGTGAGTCAAGTCCCAAGAGGGGCTGCTCGTGGGATGGCCCATGGCTGGGTCTCCTCTTCTCTCATAGATGAGGGCTGCTTAGAGCCTGGGGTGCAAGAAGACAGGAAGATGCTAGAAGGGGGAGTCTGGGGTTGGAGGAGTCTGGGGTTCTGGGGGCATCAGCTAAGCCAATTTTTTTGGCTCCTTTTGAAAGGAGTCTGGGATGGAAGTCGGGTCTGGGTGAGGGATGGAGAGAGTCTAGGTAAGAATACCAGGTTTGGGGGCCATGGGAGGCAGCAGGGGTTATTAGCTGTTCCCTCTTCTCCAGATACCAAGATTCGTTTCTTCATCCGAGGCTGTGGACAGTACAATTCTTACCGCTGCCAGGAAAAACGCAATACCTACTTCTCAGAGTATTGGTATCAGGCCCAATGCTGCCAGTACGATTACTGCAACTCCTGGTCTAGCCCCCAGCTCCAGAGCTCCATGCCTGATCCCCCTACCGGGGCCTTGGCCCTGCCCCTGTCAGAGTCCCAGATCCAGTGGTTCTACAAGGCCCTGAACCTCTCACTGCCCCTGCCCAGCTTCCATGCTGGGAAGGAACCTGAAGGCCGCAACCCCGTGACCACCCTGTCCCTGAACCTAAGCTTGTCCATTGCTGACCTGCGTCGCATATACTTGTCTCTTAACAGCTCAGGACTTTTGGTTCTTCCCTGGGCTGGGCCCTGACACCTTATCCTTGGATTTTTCTCTTCCTGCATCTCTCCCTTAACACCCCAGCACCTAGTGCTGCCCTCCTAGAACACCCACACTGTCTGGTCTGTGATTTTTCAGTCCTCCCTTCCTCTGTACTTCCAGCATCTATATGGCATTAGCTCAATTTCCTTCCCAGAAACTGCTGTGGCACTACACCCAGTACTCTTCTTTCTCCTAGAAAATACTAAGTTCACCTTCTGCGCAGGTTGTCCTAGGGAAGGCACAGTAGTTTCCTCATGCCTTTCCCATCTTCTGAGCCCATCATCCCCCTTAACTTCCCAATCCCCTGTCAGTGTCGTCACCTGCTACATCCATTCAGGTCTGGTTTTAGATTGCAGCCCATGCCTATCTTAAGCCCCAGACTGAACTTGTAGCAAAAGGAATGAAGGGTAGACATCTGTGCAGATTTCCTGATTAGGCACTCTGGTGTCACTGCTTCACTGCCTCCACCTCTGCTTCTGCCCTCATTTCCTGCTTCTCTTCTGTCCCCGTGTCTGGCCTCCTCAGCCCCGCTTAGCATCACTGAGTCTTGACACCCACTTCCATAGGTGCCAGGGGAGAGTAGAGGCGAGGGTCTGCCCTGCTCTGCACCACATCTCTCGATTGCTCTCCACAATCTCCACAATAAATGGACTGGGCTAAGTATGTGTCACACTGTTGATGGGGTCAGGCTTAGGTATGGGCAAGTGTAGACCTGTTAAAGTTAATTGGGCATGGGGATCAAACAGTTTGCAGCCTGGCCCACTCTGGCCTTTTGTGGGTTTTTCATGGCCAGCCCATAAAAGGCTTGTATCTGTTCACCTGCTTAGCTAGGGATCTGTTCAGCTATGAGGATTATGTCTTCTCACAGCATTTAACTTACCCTGCAGGGACACCTGACTGGCTCAGTCAGTAGAGCATGTGACTCAATCTTGAGGTTCTAAGTTTGAACCCCACATTGGGTGTAGAGATTACTTACAAATAAAATATTTAACAAAACAAAACCAAAAAATTTTGCCCTACAAAACCTAGAGAATTAAACCCTGGTTACATTGGCTTTTCTATCTAACAGAGGAGGAAAAACTCTTCTTTAAACCAGGAAAACTCAGAAGCAAACCAATGGGCCCAGGCCTCTATCTGAGAGTCCCCTGGTATTGAGGAACCTGGGCTCTTGCCTGTTCTTTTGAGAATCCTGGCACCCAAGACCCCCTCTGTAGGGAGCTAGGTTCAGGAGTTAAGAATGTTCAGAGGTTATACAGTTTGAGTCTGCAGTTTAGGTCTTTTATTTTAATGTATATTACTTTTGGAAAACTACTAGCCTACAAAAGCAATAGTGAACATTCATAACTTTTTCCATACATGCAGTTAAACACACTGCTCTGGGCTTGGTGTTAATGAATACAGCCAGGTGCCCACCATTCTGAATCTCAGAACCCAGTGCTGGGGTTCTGAAACCTTTTTCTGAAAAGCAGTGCACTTTGTGTTTGGGGACCCCAATCCCAGCTCCTCTGCCATTTAGGTAAGTTGGTTTCTGCCTCATTTTGGTCACCTGTCAGAGAGATAGTGCCTCTTATGATTGAGAGAATGCATGTGTGTGCACACAGGTGAAAATTAACGCCTCAAAAATAGACACAGGACAAAGGTACATACAAATTGTAGCATTTATGTATGTGTTGTTATTACTACTTTTTAAAAAAAAGTTTATTTTGGCTCCTGGGTGACTCAGTCGGTTAAACATCTGACTCTTGGTTTCAGCTCAGGTCATGGTCTCACAGTTTGTGAGATTGAGCCCCACGTTGGGCCCTGCTAACAGCACGGAGCCTGCTTGGGATTCTCTTGTCTTTCTCTGCCCATCCCCCACTAATTCTCTCAACTCTCAAATAAACCATAAACTTAAAAAAAAAAAATAAATAAAAGGTTTATTTATTTTGAGAGAGAGAGAGAGAGAGAGAGAGAGAGAATCCCAAGCGGGCTCCATGCTGCCAGCACAGAGCCCAATGGCAGGGCTCAAACTCAATACCATGAGATTATGACCTGAGCCAGACCAAGAGTCAGACACTTCACCAACTGAGTCACCTAGGTGCCCTACCACTTTTTAAAGTAATTTCTATCCCTAATATGGGGCTTGACTCACTACCCTGAGATCAAGAGTCACACGCTCTACCAACTGAACCAGCCAGGCACCCCTGTGGCCTATTTTTAGGCCTCTGGCAAAACCGAAGCTTACACATAACATGGGTTTTTCTAAACTGCACACCCGTGTTACTAGTCCTCAAGTCACTGTAAAAGCCTGTATCAGCACCGAAAGCAGCCTTCATGTAGCCTCCCAGGCACTTCTCCCAACCCAGGGGTAGCCACTGTCCTAAGTTGTAGCTGCTTAGAGGAATTTTGTCTGTGTGCTTGGTACAAATGGCATCATATAGCATATACTCCTACACAACATTTTGCACATATGTTAACAGAGATCTGTGGCCGCTTTAATAGCCTATGCTCTGGCAGGAAACACTAATGTTAATTGGTAGGTCAGGAAGCAGTTGGGGGTACAAAAATAAGTACAAACCTTCAGCATGCCCCCTCTGTCTGGGCCCACTTTCCCCCCCATCACCTCTGACTTAAGTGTAAAAGTCTAGGTTTATACAGCTTTAGCAAGTCAAACTAGAGGATAGTCTCAGGCTGAGGAACCCAGGGCCCAAGATTTGGCAGTAACTTCCCACATCGTCTCCACAGATCTAGCGGCTCTTCACAGGCTGCCTCCCCCAACTCCCTTGGCTTGGGCCCAGCCCTTCATAGCTCCACTCCTGCCAGCCCCCACCTCCCACGCCGTGGACCTCCTTCCAGTCCCCACACAGCACTGCCAAGGGTGACCAGTGCCCTTTTGGCTTTCATCACAGAAAGGCTTACGGTTCTTCACCTTTTTGTGCCTAGAGCTGAATCCACGACCTGGAGGTCAGGCAGGAGCAGAGCCCAATAGAGCTGGGAGCCCCTTATCTGCCCTGCAGTGTGGCAGTCAAGGCAGGATCTCAACCTCCTTCAGCCTCCACCACTACCAGAAGAAATAGATGAGCCATCCAGTACGTACACCAATTTATTTGGGAGGAACACCCGGGGA